CATGCTAGATTTTTCTTACAAAAACGCATCGATTCGCTACAGAAGCCCTTTGTTCACCCCCTGGAGCCATGTGAGACACTTTCTTTTATGGATGGGTGCATTTTAATTAAGTGCTTTTGGACTGATGCATGTAACACCCGCTGAGTGCCATGAAACAGCTTGAAAGATCAAAGACAATTTTTTATATAACTAGGGTTGGGTATCGTTTGGTTTTTTTCGATACCGGTGCCAAATCGGTACTTTTAAAACGGTTCCGGTGCCTAAACGGTGCCTGAACTGATACTTATTAAAAAATAAATAAATAAAAAATCCCCCCCAAAAATGATGGATTGGCCATTAAAATAGAAATACAATAGAGAGTGCAAATGTTAGAGGGTCAAGTTTTTTAATAAAAAAAAAACGAGCAGATCAAATTAGAAGTAGCATTAGAATAGAGCGTGCTAGAGTTAGAGGATTTTTGTAGGTCCAAAAAGAAGACATGTCCGGGGAAAAGAGGATGTATGGGTCACCCTAATTTATAATCGATGTATTCTTTTTAAAGTAGCCTATGGAACATATTTTCTGCCTCATTCTGTGACAAGAAGCCTCATCAGTTCACAAAAGGAAGCATTTGACTGGTGTTGTGGTGTTGTTTCTCTTTTGTTGGACAACAGGTTTAGAAATGTGAATACAAGGGAGGTTTAGCTTTAGGCATGTTAATTTAAGCATGTTTAGCTTAGTGAACGGAAGGCTACCTGCTGCCATCAGAGCAAGTCTAATTACTGCATTCCCGCACTCCTCGGATGCTCTCATTTCCCCGAGTTGTGCTTTTAAGTCTGAATGTGAAAACAACATGGACACTCTCGTTACTACAAAGATGTGTTGGATTTGTATTATTAGAGCTTTCCGACTTGAGTTCACGTGCATTTTTTCTCAGTTGGGAAATTATTTTTCATGTGCGGTGCCGCGATGATGTTTCTTACGTCCGTTTCGGAGAACCAGAGGACAAATATTTCAATCGATCGCTCAGGCATGGCACTGAAATGAGGCACCGAAATCTGCGTTCGGATTCGGTTCTAGTACATACCAGTTACGGTTACGGGTTTCGGTACCCAACCCTAAATATAACTCCGACTGGATTCGTCTGAAAGAAGAAAGTCATATACACCTAGTATGCCTTGAGGGTGAGTAATTTATGGGCTAATTTTCATTTTTGGGTGAACTAACCCTTTAAAGTGACAGCAGACTAATAGTACTAAACATAATAGTACACATACACACATAATAGTACTGTCATTATTTATTCACTCATGTTGTCCCAAACCTGTATCAATTTCTTTCTTGTGCTGAATGCAAAAAGATATTTTGGGTAACCAAAAAGTTGCTGAACCCCATTAACTTTGATAGAAGGAAAACAAAATACTATGGAAGTCACTGGGGACCAGCAACCTATTGCTTACCCACATTCTTCAAAATAACTTTTACATTAAACAGAAGAAAAAATTCAGGTTTAAAACAACTTGCGAGTGAATAAATGATGACAGAACTGTCGGCAGTTTGGACATGAATGAAGAGAGAGAACCTGCACTTAACCTTTTCTCACAGGCATTTTGTTTTCATAGTTAGTCCCGTTGGTTTGGCAGTAGCTTGCTTGCCCTACTCAGTTACCTTGTTTAGTTTCTTAATTCAAGTTATATATATATTTTGTTCTATTTGTGTTATTTGTAATAAGTGAAGAGATGTTTACTGTTAAGTGCACTGATGTCAGACTCATTTTGAATAATAAAATGTATTGTTAAATTGTTAAATACCCTGCCTCCATTACATAGGCCTATGTTTGTCACATCATTATAAGTGTTTGATCACATTTGAGTTATCATTGCAAAAAAATGTGTGTATGTATATATATTCTGTTTATGTAGGCTATATACTGTATTCTATATACAGTACCAGTCAAAAGTTTGGACACACGAATGGGAAGTGTGTCCAAACTTTTGACTATACTGTACTATTATATAGCCTACACAAAGAATATCGGCCGATATATCGGTATCAGTCTTTTTTTTTTTTACTCCCTAATATCGGTATCGGCCCCCAAAAAACCCATATTGGTCGAGCACTAATACATACATACATATATATAAAACTATTGTATTTGACATTTCTGTCACTTCTGAAATGATGGCTATGCCTCTGGTGTGACAAAATGTTAGCCTATATAATACTTTTAAAGCTCTTTTTTAAAATCTTGGCTTACATAAATTTCTACATATGTCATGCCATAGCATCATTAAACTAGCATCTAGACAACAATAGACAAAAGTTGTTGTTTTTTCCTAACCTATGGTTCTGTAACCATAAAGGCTGCTGTGTAATTTGCCCCCTGACTAAGCATTTAAATAATTTAGGGGAAGCATTTAAATAATCCTGTGAATGCACTTAAAGAATGCAGAATCGAATCGTTGAGAAATTGCAAAAATCGTTCTTGAATCGGATCGAAAACCTATGAATCGTGAATCGATTCGCTGTCTACCCAAAGATTCACAGCCCTAATTGTGATGTATCATTATAGGACTGTCTTGCAAGATATCGAGAATAAAAATTCCTGATCATTCACTCTCCCCCGTGTCCTCCGAGATGTTCATGTCTTTCTGTCTTTAGTCACAAAGAAATTAAGGTTTTTGAGGAAAACATCCCAGGATTGTTCTCCATATAATGGACTTCAATGGGGATCAGCGGGTTGAAGGTTCAAATTGCAGTTTCAGACCTTTCATAATGCGTGAAGTCCAGCTAGTGCAAGACGAGCATTTGTGGTTTAAATTATATACTTTTTTTTTTTTTAGAAAATGACTGATGGTTTTGTTAGATAAGACCCTTATTCCTCGGCTGGGATCGTGTAGAGCTCGTTGAAGCTGCACTTTGGACCTTCAACCCGCTGAGCCCCATTGAAGTCCACTATATGGAGAACAATCCTGGGATGTTTTCCTCAAAAACCTTAATTTCTTTGCGACTGAAGACAGTAGGGCTGTCAAAAAAAAATTAGAATATTCATCGAATTTAAAATAAAAATCCACATTCGAATGCAAAAACGTTGCATTCGAGTTTTAGGTGTGCGTTAAGGAGGCAGCCTTATCAGCGGCGCACGAGATGCGATGACGATGTAAGTGTCGTTGCATTATAATGTTTTTGTTAGCTTATCCAGTTAAAGCCACTAGATGCGGCGCTGCTGCTGTGTTGTTCATTAACAGCCATATCACCCTGCAGCCCAAGCCTGGTTGCCCACTGAAGCTAAGCAGGGTTGAGCCTGGTCAGTACCTGGATGGGAGACCTCCTGGGAAAACTAGGTTGCTGCTGGAAGAGGTGTTAGTGAGGCCAGCAGGGGGTGCTCACCCTGTGGTCTGTGTGGGACCTAACGCCCCAGTATAGTGATGGGGACACTATA